AACTAGGTTGAGGCTAACTCATTTCATACACATCAACCAGCTGCAATATTGTGATGACTTCTGCCTGTTGCCTTCAATTTACACTCTAATCTCTAGTCGTATTCCTACAGTCATTGATGGACATGGACACAGTCTCACTCATGAGTTATTAATTTTACATAGAAACTGTTGTGCCAGAACAGACTTATAGTCTATCCACTCCCTGTCCTGCATGTGGCAGTGACCACAGTGAGAAGGGATATCTGTTCCTGACCCTAGCTAGTGACTAGTCTATGCTGTGAAGTATAAGGGACTTTTTTATTAGTTATTTTAACTGCACATGTATTCTAAGAGGCAGATCCTGGTCCATTTAAGTAACTGGGAGTTTTGCCATTGATTTCAACGGGCCCAAGGTCTGGCCCTAAATGTTTAAGCCTTTTTAATAATCTGCTAAATCATTTGTTTCAATAATATTATAGACTAATTAGAGAGGCCCTGATTCTGCAAAGATTTAAGCACATGCATTTTATGCACTGAGTAGTCTTACTGACTTCAAATATTACTTGCATTATGTAAACTTAAGTATGTGCATAAGCCAGATTGTGTAAAAGGTGTTTTTTTTATCAGTTCTAAATCTACTGCCTTTTAATTTCATTGTCCTTTTTTCCTCCTGTCATGGGCCAAGGTATATATATCATTCATTTATCTACATCATAGCTCCACTTAAATCATTGCAGCATCTTTAAGAGCTCCTCTCTTGAAAGGCCATAAGATCTTTCTCTTCTGTGGATCTTTTTTATTTCTTTTATAACCTTGATGAAGTGGCTAAATCTGACCCACACATCTAATTGTTTTGCATTGAATGCACTCTAATTGTAATTAGAACTTATATAGCACTTTTCATCTTCAAGGCACTTTACAATTATTTAAGTAATTAATTCTCAACCTCTGAGGCAGATATTATCATCCCTGGTTATGAGATGAGGAAATAGAGAGGTAAAGTGACTTATCCAGGGTCACAGAGCAAGTTAGCACTAGAATACCTTTATGCACAAATCAGGCAGGCAATTGCATTATATAATGTACAACTCTGCCTTTCCCTCCTCTCCCTGTTTTTTAAAAAAACCCATGGACCCTTTTTCCAGCTAAGGTTGCTATAATCTATCAGCAAGCAAAGAGAGACTCCATCGTGCTGTATTTATTAAGCAGAGATTTGGTGCAGTAATTAGAACAAAGTAAATTGGTTGGAGTTCACTTTAGCCTCCATATTAGGAAGGATGTTATGTTAGAAAATCAACTGTGAAATGTGAACTAACTGTATATGCACATACACTTTAAACAGGAAAAGGACAGAATTCTGGTAAGCTAAACATCTTTGTTACCATATAGGAGACAGACCACCAATCTGCACATGCAACTCAAATGACCTTCTCTTCATTCAAATTCACTTTAAGAACAACACCCTACTTAGCTTTAGGAAAGCCTTTCAGAAGTAATCCACCAAAAATATTGGCACCATATCAAGATTGGTGCTATAAAAGGTGTATATTATGTGTATGATCTAGACTGCAACCTCTTCAGGACAAGCACTTTGTCTTCCTTTATATTTGTACAACACCAGGTACACTAGTGATGCTCACTAAATAGAAAGCATAAGTTCACATGCGAGTCTAAGGGTTCTTAAACACAAACTTTGAAAAAAGCCCTTGAATTGTAAACAACTTTTTGCTTCAGGGATGTACACAGCTTTTAACAAAAGAAAGGACATTTTCTCATAAGAGTGCTGTGAAGATTTGTTTAGGCCCTTCATCTAGACCACACATGATTCTGATCTGGATACTCTGCTCACACAGGTTATATAATAGTTAATGCCAGAAACTATGTAGAGTGAAGCTGCCATGTCCAAGTTAATAACTCCTGGAAAATGTAGTGATTCAGAAAAAAGGATCTATACCTTTATTCCTTTCCCATTCTTTATGGAGGTACTACATTGTCCCTGGCACTCCCTGTTGGTAATCTGGAAAACCTAGTTGTGCAATGGGACATTCCATTGGCCCAAATGAGAATTTTCACACATGATTGTATTACATGAGTGGGAGAATGGAACATTTTATGTCGATCTTGCAGCACACAATGTATAAAACCATGTTTTGTGGACTTGTGTCTATATGGAGATGCAAAATGTTTCTGGGGAATATAGCACTTAAATTGAAATAAATAGGAAGTTATGAGAAATGATTTTACATAAATTTTGGCATATTTATTCAGTATATAGCATGAGACATCAGATGGGTTGAGGCCTCCAGGTACTACTGTACAATACATTTTTAATAATAAAACCTTAAATTTTGTAGCAATTGAGTGATTTGACAAGTGAAATATTTTTGTATAAATGCAAGCACCCTTTTGCTGTAAGTTAATAAAGCAGAGATCTGTCTAGTCTTTTAAACGTTTGGATCTTGTTCTTTTGACAGACAAGCATGCACAAAGCAATACAATTGCTGTAGTAATATTTAGAAGCAGCTCAGGCCACCAACATATCATTTAATTTCTTTTGCAGCTAGTGATATAAAATAGTATGTACTTGACACTCAAGTTAAATGAGTGGAGATCACATATGCAAACATCCTTATCTAAGCAAAACAGCATTTTGGAATAGCATTCTTATTGTCCATTTAAGGAACTGTGAAAGGCTAGCCAATCTTAGAGGATACAGAACTAGTTTAGCTTGTCTGCCAGGCAGAAAGCTTACTCTAGCAAATGTGATTTGATTGTAAGATAAATATAAAGAGGGAAGTAGTTGAGCCAGCCATACATTCTAGCCCACAACACTGGTATCAGCTTTGATGCCTCTCTCCTACTAGCTTTGTCACTTCTTTCTCTGGACTGTATTGAAAAATCAAATCCTTCCTTCCTGTCAACAGGGCCATAATCCCCATCTGCTCTTCTTCCACATTAACCTCTTCCTATGACCTCTCTTACCAACTTGACTCCCCCTCTACCCTGTCCAAAACACAGCTGCTAAAATTATGATGTTCCTCAGAGATAGATCAGACAATGCTGCTCCCCTCTTCAAAACCCTTTCCCTGGTTCCCCCTTGCCCAAAGTAACAAGTTTACACTTCTTGTCCTTACTTTCAAGGCTATCCACCTCAGCCTATACCTTGAATCCATTTGCTTAACCTGTGTCCTCCTTGTACCCTTTCACTACTCCCATACCACTGTCCTCACCCGTCCATTTATTTCCTTCTACTCCTCTCTCTATGCCAAGGCCTCACCATGAAATCTAGTCACTTAATAGCTGGGCCAGATATTTGCAGCAAATATCCTAATTATGACTGCTCACAGTGAAGACCAGAAAACCACCCTAAAGAGCAAGAAAAAAAAATTAACAGGCCTACATTTGTTCACTCATTTGTCCAATTTAAGCTCACTTAAGTGAAGATAATGTACATGCAAGGCCCTACATACTCTACAGCAAACGATGTAAATTTGCTTTTATAACAAGACTCCCTGACTTCTGCAGCTCTCCAGTGAAGCAGACTGGAAATCCCACAACCACCTTAGATAATTTAGAAATTTAAGGTTTTTCTTCTTTTTATTAAGTTAAATATGAAAATAAATAATGCAATCAGGAAAGTATCCCTTCTGGAGTGTAACATGCTGCCTCCACATTCTTCAATTTGCTGCAAGATTTTGTATTAAAAATGCATAACTGCATTGTAGAATTGGTAGGAAGTGAAGCAGGTTGTTTTGGCCCATAGGAGTAGGGAACAGTTGGGGCTTTTGGCACATAGACAGGCATAGCAGACACTTTGAGGTTGTGGAATAAACTTGTACCTGCACATTTCTGTGGAAGTATTCAGCAATGCTGGAGTAGAGAACAAGGCTGACATTTAAGTTCTCAACATTATGCTTGAGTTAACATCCAAATCTGCTGAATGGATGCAATTCCCATGTCTCAGAAGTACTGTTTCAGGTCATTTACAGATTTGGGGAGACTTCATTGCATTAAGCTTATTTTTGGAAGGTTTTCTTTGCAATCATTGGGTCTTGAGATGGATAATATAAAAAAAAAATCAAAGAAGGAAGTTCAGCTACTGGAGCATAATTCTTGTGATAGGACTCTGCTTCTAAAAGATGCAGCAATACGTAACATTTAGGCTGGTTACATTCTCAAAATGTACATGACACACTTTGACCATTGTATGGGAAGAGAATCAACAGGAGAACGGTCCTAAACTTCTTGCAAGGATTTATAATACGTTATGCATACAAGCTATTCTAAGTTAATTATAACACAGCCTGTGTAATTTAAATAAAAATACACCCTTTAAACTTACAGAAAACGGCTTTAATCTGGCTATTCATTTATAAAAGATGCATTTGTGTAGCTTTTAATTTTAGAATCTCCCTTTGGTTATCCCCAGATAAGATTGTTTACTTACAACCAAGTCAGTTCAGTTTTAATTTTATGTTCTGCAGTTATGTAAAATAAAAATTAATGTTCTTACTGTAATACTTCTGTGATGCAGTCTGTCAGATGTGCCTTTGTGCATACAAACATTTTGAATTTTACATTTTCTTTCTCAACAGTGGTATTTTTCCCTTAAGTGTTAAATGTTGCTAAGTGGTTATTTTAAGTTTCCATGTAGGCTGGAACATAGCCCAAAATAGGGCTACAGAAGCTCTAATTTCACAGAGCAATTGTGCCCAGTAAGGCTATTGTGAAATCCAAAGGAGGGTTCCCCCCCTCAAAAGTAGCTTGGTAAAGCCAAATTCAGCTCCCAACTCTTCCTAGGGAGGAATTCTATCTAATTCTATCCTAAGGGGCAACTGAGCTCCAGTGAATGAGCATCTCGGACATCTTAGCTGGGGCAGACAAATGTGTGTGGCAGGGTTCTTTTCTACCAGTGAGCTACTGAGGTTCCTTAAAGGGGCTGCAAGTGATGAGAGTAACATTGCTTGGGTTGGAGGTCAGGGACTTGAGTTGTGATTAAATATATTTTGGAAACCACAGCATTTATAGCAATTTTTTATTCAACGTTTAAAAGATTTCAAGAACAAAAAGTGATTCAGTGGAAAATGCCTGTTTTATATTGAAAAAAGTTCTTTTGCAAGAACATGCATTCCCTGCATTTACCTACAGTAATCAATTTTAAAATGCACATGCATTTTTGGACTTCTTGTAGTATATGTATAATATTTCAAAAACTAAGCAGCTATTGTCCTGAGCAATATATGAAGAGTCATCTTCTTGTACAGTTTTAAAATACCCAGTTGTAGGACATTTATATTGACAGTAAGCAGAGAATAAATCATAATAGACTTTAAACATTTAATGTGCCTATTCATCAAGTAAGGCAAGAGCTCTCCTGTGAGTAAGTTAACAAAAACATTGTGTCAATGTAATATTAATATTGTACACTGAACCTGTAGTATAGTATAAAGACACATACAAGAAATGTTTTCATGAACAGTAGGTTCGGACTACATTTGTGTTACAATAAACCAAGCTTGTATTCCACCATCACATGCGGTTCTCCCATAACTTCACTCTGCGATGGGTCTAGAAAATAGACAGTAAAATATTTACGAAGTTAGTAACACTTTGAAACAGAAACTATCATAAGACAAGAGGACTATATTTCCTCTAGATGTATATGTTTATAGAAGGGGTTCTCAAACTGGGGGTTATGATCCCTCGGGAGGTCACAAGGTGGATACATAGGGGTCGTGAGGTGTCAGCTCTGTGGGGTTGACAGCCCTGAGCCCCCATTACATTAAATTGCCACCCTCCCCCATTTTTAAATTTATAAGGCGGGGGGTCATGCTCAGAGGCTTGCTGTGTGAAAGGAGTCACCAATACAAAAAGTCTGAAAACGGCTGGTTTATAGCAATGTGCACATCTTGATTACTGAGAAAAGTTCTGCAGTGTATGCTTCAAATCTGTCGACCTTTAAATATCTGTCCTAAGCAACAACCAGGGGAAAGGAAACCCGGCAAAGGTCTCCTTTTCCCTAGAAAGGAAGAGGGGCAACGGGAAGCTATGCTATGTTCAAGCACCAGAGAGTTACACATCATACAAGACCTAGGACAATAAATTAAGTACAACAGACAGAAAAACAACAAGTTTTAAACTTTGTTTTAAGTTGAAATGGCATATCAGCAACATGAGTGTGACAAAAGAAAGTTTCACAAAGTAATGATCAAAGCCCAGTACTTAATTAAAAAAAAAAGGATTAGAGAATGGTTACAACACTAAAAAGCAACAGTGAAAATTAGTTTCAAGTGGGTGCATGTGTATAGAAAAAGACAGAGCCCAAGTCTAGTAGGTAAGATAGTATATCGAAAGAGAAATATCAGAATGAGAACTTCAAACTTCACACTAAAAAACCAGCAATCATACTGGAGTGCAACCCAAACACCACATGTGGTGCTTCATTTAAACAGGGCTTCTAGGAGCAAGATTACGCATGGGGGCAGACTGACTCCCCCTTCATATCAACCACTGGAGTGGGGGCAATGCACATTGGGGAGCAATATATTTTGCCCTAATGGATAGGGCAGACAGTGCTCCTTCTATGCACAGTACAAACTGGGCCCCTCTGAGGCACATTCCCTTCAGCACTCCTCCAGGAATACTGAGGCTCCATAATTTAGCCCCAGATGATAAAAACCACTCCTCCAATAAATTTTTATTGGCATTTATTCTCTTTCACTACTATTAAAACATGGGTTAGGGGATATGTTACACATCCAAATACAAGACACAATTTTGCTTCACATTTCAGGATAACCTCAGGAGAACAAGCAGCTTCACCATATTTATTTTTTTCCTGATATATCCCTTTTCTAACCTCTAAACTTGAATTAATAAAAAACTGTCGGGGGCACAGAAATCTTGACAGTTCCCAAATCTCACCTTTCTGATAGCCCTGAGAAAGTTTTGACAGCTTACAAAATCTTTGAAAGAAAACATAATTTACCATTAAGAATATCCTCAAAACCAATGCATTCATCATTTCCTCTCAGTGTATCCAGCGCTATATTTGAGCTATGCAGAAACGGAAGACGTTGGATCTGTGAAAACACAGCAAGAGTCAGAAAGAAACGCAGGTTTCTCCATATTCAGGCTTCCCAAGTCCCGACTGTAATTAAAAGTGACAGGCAAAGTAATTTGTTCTTTGGGAAATGACAGAATGATAACACGGACTCGAGTGTAGAGATATTCTAGCCTCCACACATTTGTCTCAAGACCTGTCTGACACCTCATCCTATAGTCAAGGCATGGGATCAAAACATCAAAATGCACTATCATGAAAAACTGTTTTCAATTTCAGTAGGAAAATATGCCCACTGTTTTCTGCCAAATATCTGTGAATGGTCACTACAAACTATCTTTACCTTGAGTGACAGCTTGAGAGTTACAAGATTAGTAAACATACATTTCAATAATTTGGTAAGCTAATTTATTTTCAATTTTATTTTTTCAATCCATATATCAAAAGAGTAAAAAGCACATCAACAGACTATACCATTATATTAATGAACTTGTATGGCCCTCCCTAAGAGTCATTAGATTATGAACCTCATTTCTCCAATCTCCCCTAGAAGCAGCCTTAATGAGGTCTTGGTCCATGATTAGGGCTCCTAGGCACTACAATAATACAAATCAACAACAACAACAACAAAGCTTGAGATTGGCTCTTGCTCAAAAGGACAGGTTTATGTCATGTGCACCATCAGACCACCATACGATTGTGGAGAAAGGAAGGCTCTGCACATGTCACTGCGTATGTAGTAAGGCAACTGACTAAAATGACAAGTAAAGAGCTCAGA